CAGACTCCTTCCTTACACTTGCACTAGTTTATTCTTTGTCATCCCCGGGATCTTTTGTCGATCGCTTTGGCAAGTAGTAGCTGTTTCGCCTTCTATCCTAGAGGCATTTACAACATATGCCGCAACCATCGTAGATGTAACTTCAAAATCTAGAGAAGCAGCAGCTTTACATCAAGGTTTTATTGGATATTTGTACCCGGGGCCACTTGAGCCAAACGATACCGACATTGGGAACTTACTTTCAGAACTTGGATTAATATATTTTAAAGTTTAAACCAGTGAATTATTTATGGTTTTTACGTTGTTTCTTATTGCAGTTTCGGATGACTTTCGAATAGAGTTTGAACAGGCGGATATCGGTAAAAACGACGATGATGCTGGCGGCAGATTCGTCCGTTACCAGTTTACCCCACAGTTTTTACGGCTGAAACACGTCACAGCGACGTAAGTTACCTTAGACCTCTACGGTGACGACCATCAACGAAACGCTTCTGTTTATTTAGCGTAGAGTTCATCGTTGGCAACAGGACGGTGAACAAGTTTCGCATGATCGAACGCCACTACTTCAGAGACTCGCTGCTGAAGAGTTTCGATTTCGAGTTTGGCTTCTGCATCCCGAACAGTCGCAATACCTGTGATCACATCTATGACTTCCCACAGCTTTCTGAGGAAATGAGTAAGCTGCATGTGAATGCTTTTTTATGCCTAACCGAACTCGAACTGTGTCACGTCAGTTTTGATGGCAGCGTAATTGTTTAGACGACGTATATGCATAGAAATAAATGATTCCCTTCAAGCTCGGCTGAACGATACTACAGTTTTGATGGTCTTCGAAGTGTTTTCACTTTCCGTCTTCCAGCTGTTTTCTGGGTCTCGCTGATTGCGATATACAGCTGGGCAGGAAGAAATTATATCACCAGCTCAGTTTGAAAGCATAGCCAAAATCTGTCCGATAGAATAAAATTTAACGCAAGTTGATGAATCTGGCTATATGGCGAAACGTCATTTAAATGTCTTTCAAAAATACTACCTGCACATCATTTTTTGGCAAATTATTGAGTAAGGCCCAGTCAGATGACGTCTTTCCCAGATCCAGCAGTACTGTTGATGAATTTGACTCTTTGGGCTAACAGAGCCCTCATCTACTGCAAATCACTTCGGAAAAATATTGCACAACAAAATTCTCTAGCGCTATGTCTCTTTCCGTGTGATCTTT